ATGCTAAGTGAAAGAAACCAGTCATAAAGGACTATTATCACATAATTCGTGGTTTTTTTTTTTTTTTTTTGGTTTTTCTCCAGTACCGGGAACAGAACTCACGACCTTGCACTTGCCAGGCAGGTGCTTTTGCCGCTGAGCTAAATCCCCAGCCCCTATTATCACATAATTCCATTCATGTGAAATGTTCAGAATAGGCAAACCAAGAGATCCAAAGTTGATTAGTGGTTAAATGGGCTTGGCAGTAGCGAGGGTCAGCTAGATGAGGAGTAATTGCTAACGGGTACCTTTCGTGGACAATAAAAATGGTCTAAAATGAGATTATGGCAATAGTTAGAAAACTGTGAAAATACTACGGTATGTGAATTACATCACTATAAAGCTGTTAAAAAGGAAATGGAAAGTATATTTCGGGCTGGCACTAATTAAAAGAAAACTGCAGTTGCTGTATTAATAGCAAGAAAATTTCAGAGCAGATTATTACCTGAAACAAAAGTAGTCATTTCATAACAAAAGGATCAATTTACCAGGAGGACATAATACTTCTCTTTAGTTCTACACATCGTAACAGCTTCATAATATATAAAGCAGTCAGATGTGATGGTACACACTATCTCAGCTATTCAAGAGGCTGAGACAGAAAAATCACAAGTATGAGGACAATTTGGGCAAATGAGCAAAAGCCTGTCTCAAAATTAGAAAAAAAAAAAAAAAAGAAGAAAAGAACTGAGGATACAGCTCAGTGGTAGAGTACTTGCTTAGCATGTGGGAGCCCCTGGGTTCAACATCCAGTGCTGCAAAACACATAAAACAAAAACTAATAAAACTGCAAAAAAAATAGTTGAATCTGCAATTATGGTTGGAGATTTTAATATTCCTCTCTATAAATAACTGATAGAGCAGAGAGAAAATTAGTAAGAACATAGAAACCTGAACAATATAATCAGTATGATCTAAAGCACAGGTATGCAAGCCCTGGCCCTGGATTATGGCTTGACAGAAAACAGGCCACACACCAGGAGGTAAGCAGCTGCTGGGAGAAGCTTCATCTGTATTTATAGCTGCTCCTCACTGTCAGAATTACAGAATACCACCTCCTGTCAGATCAGCGGTGGCATCAGATTCTCAAGGGGATACAAATCCTACTGGCAACTGAGCATGTGAGGCATATAGGTTATGTGTTCCTTACAAGATCTAATGCCTGATGATCTGAGGTGGAGTTGAGGCAGTGATGCTAGCACTGAGGAGTGGCTGCAAATACAGATTCACATTAGCAGAGAGGTTTGACTGCACAGACAATACTAATATAACAATTGCCTGCAGACTCAAAACCCTATCAGTGAGTGGCAAGTAACAATTAAGGGGCATCTGATAGCAGGCTTTAGGTCACAATCTGATACTTATTTTAGTCTATGTGTGACCCACACATTATTTTATTTACCATGTCCATCTGTGCCTCTTTCCTGCAACCTATACTTGTCTCGGTCACAGTTGTGATAAGCCTACAGCTAACCCTAGCCCAAATGAGTATGAACCAAATGTCACTGGAGAGCTTCTCTGAAAAAGAGGAAAGACCTAATGATGGGAGAGAAGACTCAAGACTGCCAACAGGCTGGGCATGGTGGCACATGCTTGTAGTCCCAGCATTCCGGAGGCAGAGGCAGGAGGATCACTGTGAATCTGAGGCCAGCCTGGGCTACAAAGTGAGCTCAAGGACAGCCTAAACTGCTTAGTGAGACCCTGTCTCAAGAAGACGAAAAAAAGACTGCCAATGAAAAGGAAGCTACATTTAAAAGAAAATACCAAGAGTTCTATTTAAATTACAGGTTCAATGCAACAGATGATTCACATTCTCCAAGCCCACTTTGTATATGTGGTTACTGGCCATGGAACCTTCAAAACTGCTTTGCCATATGGAGACCAGGCAGCTGGCATTACAATACAAGCCTTTGGAACTTTCCAAAAGAAAAAACCATAAATATGAAGAACAGAAGCAATTATTGAAGCCTACCACTTCATGGAATGTGTTTGTACTGAGAACACCATTCTTACTGACTAACTGCACTGCCAGAGCTTTTTACTACTGACACAGTTGATCCTGCCTGCTGCTAAGGACACTTGCTGCGAACTTCAAGGAGACACTGCAGTTTAAAAGGTGGCACACATTCCTCTTTCAGCTAGCAACACAGCTAGACGAACTGATGAAATAGCAGAAGATACTGAGGCACAATTGTTAAGAGAGGATTAAGGAGCCACCACGGCATGCAGTCCAGGTTGACAAGTCTCCCAATGCTGACAAGGCAACAGTCAATGCTCATGCTTATATGATGTATTTTTCAGGGGATACGTTATATACACTTTTGTTGCCAACCAACATGACAGCTGTAGACCTATTCAAGTCTTTGAATAACTACATGTCAGGAAAACTGGTCATTTTGTCAGTATATACATGGCTGGAACAGCCGCCATAGCTGAGCAGCTTTCTGATTTCACTACATGAATCGAAGAGGTCACTTCTGAAAAAAAATAAAAAATTAAAAAAAAAAAAAGAAAGGGCAGGGGATTTAGCTCAGTGGCACAGCGCCTGCCTGGCAAGCACGAGGTCATGAGTTCAACTCCTAGTATCGGGAAAACAAACAAACAAACAAACAAAAAACCAAAGAGGTCACTTCTGAATGTGAATACTCACAGAAATGCTGGCTTGCCAGGCATGGTGGCACATGCCTGTAATCCCAGCACTCTAGAGGCTGAGGCACAAGGATTGCTACACAATGAGTCCAAGGCCAGCCTGAACTACATAGCGAGACCCTGTCTCAAAAAACAAAACAAAATAAACCAACAAAAAAAGAAATGCTGGCTAACCAAAAATTGTCACCTGCATTTAATGTTTTGCAGGATATGATTAAAATTATCAAAGGCATTAAAGTATAGACCCTTAACTCACATCTGTTAGTGTAACTCCATGAGGAGGAGATGGATACAGAGCACACACATTTTCTCTTATACACAGCTGTGAGACACCTTTAAAGGCAGATCACTGGCCAGAGTTTTTGAGTTATGAGAGCTGCTCCAGAGATTTCTTTTATAAAAACAGTTTCTACTGGCAGCACATTTCAGTGACAGAATATGGGTTGCAAAATTTGCTTTTTTTTTTTTTTGGTTTTTCTCCGGTACCGGGAACCGAACTCACGACCTTGCACATGCCAGGCAGGCGCTTTTGCCGCTGAGCTAAATCCCCAGCCCCAAAATTTGCTTATTGTGTGACATATTTAACCTGTTCAACTAACTCAGTCACTTCAGTGAGAAAAGCGACTGGGTGCAAGTCAACAGATAAAGTGAATGCATTCAAAGCAGAACTGGAATCTGAGAGCAGTGAGTAAACACTGGGATTTTTTTTTTTTTTTGGAGACAGGGTCTCACCATGTAGTTCAGGCTGGCCTTCAATTTGCGGCAAGCCTCCTGTCTCAGCTTCCTGAGTGCTGGGAGGTGTGTGCCACCACACCTGGCTTGCACTGGGACTTTGGATGTTTCAAACGTTAACAGAGATTTTGAAAGAGACTGAGCCAGGGTCTTCCTTCTCCCAGCTGGTGCATGACCACCTATCTCAGCTTTCAAAAGAGTGTGAGATTACTTCCCAACCACAAAAGCCTCCCAAACTGGGAATGAGTCCACAATTTACTAGTGAATAAGCCAGGTGAATCAACTTTCCCATGCCAGAAGAGGATCAATTGCTTGAGACTGCAAATAACAATGGTCTTATATATCTGAGACAACTTCAAATCTGTATACATTGTGGATTAAGGTCCAGGTACAATATCCTGAGACCGCCACAAAAGTACTGAAAAGCCTGCTTCCATTTCCAACATCCTGTCTTTGTAAAGCAAGTTTTCTGCAGTGGCAGCAACCCAAATGAGATTAGAGTAGACTGGACATCAACAACACACTTCAGGTGTCACTGCCTCCTATCACCCCCAGATGGAACTGTCCAACTGCAGGAAAACAATTTCTGGGCTCCCACTGATTCTTCATAGTGGTGAGTTGTACCAATATTTCATTATATATTACAATGTAATAATTAGAAACAGTTTAGTATACATGCTGCCGAAGCAAGCACAATAATAGAAATAAAATGCACATAAATATAATATGCTTGAATCATCCCCTCTACTTCCTGCATCCCTGGTGCCAAAAAGGTTGGGGATCACTCCTCTACCACTAAGGTAAACCCCGACCCCGAGAAACTTTTTTTTAAAGTCACAGTCTATGTAAAAAAAAAAACCTGAGAAAACAGTTGTAACCAAAACAATTAGTTGTAGTAGAAGTTATTTTTTAAAAATTTTTAAGAAGAGTATCACATTTTAATTCATTTTTGCATACATGTGTTATTCAATAAGGAAATAGCCAATAAAAAACATTATAAATGATAACCAAAAATGCAAACAATTGCACCCAAACCACCATCTAGTCTTTGGGATGTTTTCAATTAATTACCTTTTTGTTTAAAGGTAAAATATTTAATGGAAACAACAAAAATCCCTTATGTTGATTTATTTTTAAACCCTTATGTTTTGAATTTACATAAACTGAATTATATTTTTAGCAGCAAAAAATGGAATTCAGTATTTTTATTTAAGTCAGTGCTGTCACTAAGTACTATAACTATAAATTCAATTTAAAGCCTTAGAAGCCTTTGTAGAAAAGTGTGTGTGTCTGTGTGTTCATATATATATATGATCTTATGTCAACATCTCCTTCCAAAAATGTGAGAACTACATAACTATAAAGTTTATGGAAGGAAAAGGCAGTTAAAAATAAGTCAAATTATAAAATTCTTTAGTTTCAGATGTTAAGAAATGGAATAAAATTCCAAAATATCTTAATTTCTTTTGATTCATATTTACTTCCAATATAAAATCCCCATTGCATTTCTCCCTATGAATAAATGTACAGAGAGTATCTGAACGTACACACATCACAGGAATAAAAATACTCAGTCTTACCTGAAAAAGATCCAAAAGAGGCTTCCAAGAAAGCATTAAGACTGCGGCTTTGTTAACGGTTTTAGGAATTTCAGAATAAAATAGTGTGTTTTCTCTGTTCTCACCAGACATGGCTATGAGAAAGAAACAATTATTATTTCAAATAGCATTCTTACTATAATCACAGTAGAAGCACATTATACCTTCCACATACTACATTTTACCCTCTGTGGGGTCTATAGTGAATAATTAGGATGTGCACATTTAAGAAAATCAAGGTTTCACAGAAAAATGCTGTTTCATTTAGGTATTCAAGTCTTAGTCCCTTTCAAAACAAACAAAAATATATAAGGAGAATTCAGATAAGTTATTTCAAGTTAGGAGTGATGGGGCATAGCCCTGATCCCAGCACCCAGAGGCTGAGGCAGGACGATTGCCCTCCACCTGAGGCCAACCTGGGCTACGAAGTGAATTCAAGGCCAGCCTACACTACAAAGACAGACCTAGTCTCAAAAAAAGTTTTTTTGGAATTAAGATTAAGAAGATTAAGGAAAAGAGATGGAAGTAAGCAAGCAAACAAGCTTTTCCTGTTCTTTTCTGATAGGATTTATTGGTCTTTGATGCTACAGGGCCCTATTTTGGTTAATGCTCCAGGAAACAACAATGAATCCCCTTTAGTGTAACATGATGACAGACCAGAAGCAAAACTTACCAGGTTAGTGGGCATGGTGGCACACTCCTGTAATTCCAGCACTCTGGGAGGCTGAGTGAGGACAGACCCTACTTAAAAGACCCACCTAGGCAACAGAGTAAGACCCTGTCTCAATAAAGGTTGGGTACACAGCTCAGTGTGAAGACCCTGGATTTAATTCCCAGTACCACCCAAACAGAACAAAACAAATCTTAGCAGATTAATCAAAATGTGCCAGGTGGGGGAACCCTCTCCTGTGTGCATGTATATAACTGGGTGTGGTGGCAGGAGGGAGCTGTGTTCTGACTATGCGCAGCGTCATCAAACTAGATACAAGTGTCTCCTCCGAGACAAGGAAGTCTATCGAGAGACTTCCAGGGGCTGTGGGAGGCTTGGCTTAGGTCAGAGAGGCAGCATGCGTCGCTTCCCCATGGCGGCCCCCACATAGCTCCCCGCACTAAGCAACCTGAGCAGACACTTCTTCCTTTTAGGGTTGGATGCGTGTGGTGCTGACAAAGGTATGTCCGAGTGCTGAAGCATCATATACTTACACAGCAACTGGCAGAAATCTCTACCTAGACTTCATACAGTATAGTGTAACTAGGCTGGGGAGGAGGAGGACTACACAGCTAATTACAAGTTCTTATACAAAAGGAAGCAGTGCCAGTCAGGACAAATGAAATACATTGATGAAGGGGGAACCAGTTTAATTCAACAGGACAATATAGGGTTGTAATAATAATCAGAGCAGCACATACTGGCATTTGATTTGACAGATCAATGGAACAAAGCCAAGTCTAAAAATTATATATGGGAACATGACATATGATAAAGGTGGCGTTTTTAATCATTAGTGAAAAAGGTGGATTGTTCAAAATTCGTTATTAAAACAACTGGATGGGGGTCGGTTGTGGCTCAGTGATAGGGCACAAATTTATCATGAACTGGGCTGTGAGTTCAATCCCTAGCATGGCAAAAAAACTTAAAAAACAGGAGAGTCACATAAGGACAATAAGTTTCTCTATATCAAAACTTACAAAAAATAAATATGAGTTGATGCAAAGCTTAAGTTAAAAAATTCATTGGAAGTGTTGAAGAAAATATGAAGATTTTAAAGATAATCTTGGAGTTGAGAAAGACTTTCTAGATAAGGTAAACTTATAGAAAAGTAAAATTTTAACTACAAAAGAAAAAATCACAGATTTCGGGACGGCCGAAGGCACTAAAGGCAAGACACCAATGAGAGCGCACAGAAAGCTTGGCACCATGGTGTGCCTGTGACCCTGGCTACCCGGAAGGCGAAGGTGGCAGGGCCGTAAGTTTCAGGCCAGCCTCAGCATCTTGGCAAGACCCCCATCTCAAAAAAATCTCAGAGGAAAATACTACAATGGGGATGTTCCTGCGTTATATAAAACGCTTCAAGTCATTAAGAAAAAGAACCCCAACTCAATTTCATAAAGCACAGACTGTCCGTTGTAGTGGTGCATGTTTGAAACCCTAGCTGCTCAAGAGGCTGTGGCAAAAGGACTGCCAAGTTCAAGGCCAGCCTAGGCACCTTTACCAAGACCCTATCTCAAAATTTAAAACACTAAAAGGGCTAGGGATATAGCTTGGTGGTAGAGCACTTGTCTAGCATATGCAGGCCTTGGGTTCAATCTCTAATACCATGAAACATTTATAAATAGATCAGTTACAGAAAAGGAATACAATGGCTTTTAAATATGCAAAAAGATGCTCAACTTCACGCCTAAGAGAAATAAAATTAGAGGTACAGTATGAGTTTTCTGTTCACTAGTCAGTGTGAACAATCAAAAACTTTACTATTAGTGTAGGTATAGACACACAGATGTTCTGAGGAAATTGTGATGGTAACATAAGCCTACTAACTTCTTTGTAGGGGGAAATTCAACAGTATCAATCAAAATTCAGAATATAAACAACCTTTCGTCCAAGTAGTTCTACTCTTGGGAATTAGTTTTATAGGTACTGTATACTCACATATGCATAAAATGATCCAACATAGTGACACTGCCTCTTCTCTGAGTAATCACAGAGAAAACCTAAGTGATCATTACTAGAAGCCTGGTTAAATTAAACATGGGATAATTATATAATACTCTAAAGCTGTTAAAAAAAAAAGAATGAAGCTGGTCAGGCATGGTGGCAGATGCCTGTAATCCCAGCACTCAGGAGGCTGAGGCATGAGGAATGCCACAAGTTCGAGGCCAGCATGGGCTACACGGTGAGTTCAAGGGCAGCCTGGCCTACATAGCAAGTATTTGTCTAAAAAAAAAACAAAGAGAATCTATAATTATACAGACTTATGCAAACAATATCTCTAAAAAGATCCTTATACATAATAAATGAACAAAACTTGTATGGCAAAAGGCTCCAGAGGAGGACAAATTTATCTTTTAAAATCAGAGCTGGAGGTAAAACTTGGTGATAGAGCATGCACTTAGCATGTACAAGGCCCTAGGTTCTGTCCCTAACACACATATGCACATGGACAAACAAGTCAAGCAATGGATTTACACATTTAATTTAGAAAATATAAATCTAGAGTAAACAGAATCAGAAACAAGACACCAAAATCAACCTTTAAAAAAAATGAAAGCAGGAGCTGTTAAGAATGGGAACACACTAATAATTTTGTTTGTTCTAATTTGATATTCCAAAGGAAAGACATTATTTTTGGCACCCTTGACTTCAAAAAAAGATCATGATTAATTCATGCTTTGTGGCTGGGTATGGTGGCGCACACCTGTAATCCTAGCACTGGAAAGGCTGAGGCAGAAAGATCACCTTGAGTTCGAGGCCATCCTAGGCTATACAGGGAGTTCAAGACCAGCCTGAACTATATAGTGGAACCCTGTCCATTTGTTATCTGCTAAAGTTAATAAGACAAACCAAAATTAAAACAGCACTCAAATAGAAGTTCTTCAATTTGAAAGGATTTTTTTCTTTTAATGGAAACAAGTCATTTGTGCACTTAATCACCAAGTTCCCACCTCCCGCCCCATACTGTGGATCGAACCAGAGACCACAGAGTTGCAACCTCTGTCCTGCTCCCTTTTTCTCACTTTTTATTTGGAGATAGGGTCTCACTACACGCCCAGGTTGGCTTTGAACTTACAATCCTCCTGTCTCAGGTTCTCCAGCAGCTAGGGTTACAGGTGTGCACTACCTTGTCCGGCTTACTCACCCAAATGTGAGCACAAACTTTATCTGTCTAGAAGTTTGACTTCAGAAAATGTTTCCTCTCAGAAACTCTAACTTCATACTCACCAAGATAATAGATCCTGTCCGAATGAGGCCCATCTGGATCATTCCTCTTCACAAACATAAAGTCATGTGGCGCCTTGGCCATCATGTAGCCATGGTATTTTCTGGTATCAGCAAGCAGCTTTTTAAGCTGACTCCAGGAATATCGCTCAACATAAAATGGCTCCAATTTGGGCCGATCCTGTGATTCAATATTCTCCTCACACTCTGCAGTTTCAAATATCTCAACACCCAGCTGCTCTGTCTCCATTGCTGCTGCCATGTTGCATTTTCCTAGAAAACAAGGCACATGAAACTGCTCACAGGGCTGTTTTCCACACTTGTCAGGAGGAGAGTCTGATGGGCCAAACAATGAAAACCAAGAAAAATTCTTTCCCGCACAGCTGCAGTGAGACCTGGGAAGGAAGCAACAGCTCTCCCTTCTCGTGCTGTTTTAAAATGACATTTTAAAAAACTGAGGTCATGTCAGTTTCACAGTGACTAGAGATCCCTTGGGGAACTTTTATAAAAGGCTCTCCCTTAGGCATCTCCTGCCAAATTTTTTTTCTTTCCCACACTGGAAGGAAACAGGCCTCCTGCCAGTTGGCTGCTAGCTCCACCCGAGAGCGAGCGAGCGCAGCAGCAGTGAAGCTCACTGTGCCAAGGGAGTTCAGTGTCGCTGCACTTAGGAAAGTAGCACCTTTGACAAATGTGGATTTCCCTGGCTAAGAAAAGCAATCACAGCCAATTAGAACAGTAATCACATTGTCACAAGCCATGTGTTTGTAACACTCATCCTAGGGCACTCACTTAAATGTAACTCTAAACAATGAAACACTTACCTGTCTGGCAGGCGTCTGAGTCTTTCACAATGCATCTGACTAGATATAATTACTGTGTAACACTTGCGGTGACTCAGTATTTTAAGGAAACTTACTTGACTATTATTGCAGATTATGTAACTCACTGTTTCAGTAGAAAAGTAACTAAGTGGCTTTAATTAGTTGAAGTAGTTCACGAAGAATTTAACGTTTGTATCAATATTTTGATAGAAGTTTGAGCCCAATTTACCAGTTCAATCCCGTAAGTATTGTCACATGTACTAATGCTTATTTTACAAATCTAGAAGATGCTTTTTTTTTTATCTTTTCCAATGTTTAAATTTAACTTAAAGTATGAAATACCAAAAAATGTTGTCATAAAACATGAGATTCTGGCATGCATTTATTCATGACAATACCAAAAAGTAGCAACATAAAAATAATGGAACAAACTGCTCTTTTTTCAACTAATCAGGTGAAAAAAAATTATGAACTTGAAGATAAGCTAAACTGCACTTATGTAACCAAATTTCACATAATTAATCACTTCTAGACAGAAATCGATATATGACTCTTTGCTTAAGATGATGTCTCTTAAAAAAAAAAAAAGATGATGCCTCTTTTTAAAGCTCCATTTTGCAGGTTACCATGAACTCACGGTAGGAGGTAACTTTAACAGAGAAAAAGTTACTAGCTAGTGTGGGCATGCAAACAGACTGAACTGTGTTCCCTGGAACACTGTATCACTTTTCTTGCTACAGTCAACTATACTACCACTTTCAGTGTAACAGTTGCAAAGGCAACTGGGAAACTCAATAGTTACATCAGATATAGCTGCAATATTATTGCCACTGGGTATTTACTTTCAATATTAGAATCCAAAATAGCTCAACAGAGAATTAAGTGGCTTAGTTCACCTGGTATGCAGCATACATGTCGCCTGCCCATCTAGGAGCTAGTGGAGTTCTACTTTCTACCAAATGTGTCCATGAATCTAGTTTTCTATCTAATGAAGCGAGGAACAAGTAAAAGAAGAATCTACACACACTGGGCTATTTCTCTCGTGGTAAACTTGGAACCTCTTTTTTTTAAGACGGGAGAAGCTCAGGTGAAAGACTTCCTAAGCCTTACTGCCAACCTTCAGGAGTTACCTTCACATTTCTCCTGTATAAAAGTTGGTTTTTTTGTTTTTTTCCGATACTGGGAATCGAACTCATGACCTTGCACTTGCCAGGCAGGCGCTGTGCCGCTGAGCTAAATCCCCAGCCCCTAAAAGTTGTTTTTGTTTGTATTTACATAAAATTATCTAGTATTCCTCAACCATACCAGGTCCCCGGAATGCTTTTCTCTGCACGTATAGGCCCATACATATATGTGTCCAGTCTAGTCAGCTTATTCTGACTTTTCTAGGACAGGGCTGATAGTATGTAATTTACTCAAGTGTATACCTGACTTATCCTCCAGAATTTGCTCACACCTCATATACAAATACTTGAAATACATGGCCTGAATTTTCTGAGGTCAGCACACACGGTCAACACGGTGCACGTATTTCACTGCTCCCCCAGCCCTTCATTTCCAGCCTTCCCTGATGCCTACCTGATTGTATTTTCATCTGTTCAGATCTCTTCCACACACCAAAAGATCATTTTCAAGTGACCCAGCTTCAAGTACGGATTCCTCTGCTCATCCTGCTCTCTTCTCACAGGAGCCTCTCCTTTTCTCACCATCCAACCCTATTCGGCAGGGTAACAAAGTAAGATGTAAGACTGCAGATCATCACTACAGTAAAACGCCCCATGTAGTCAAAAAAGATAAGGTCTAAAGTTTCAAAACAATACTTGTAACAGAGAATTCGTTTTGGTGTATGACATCTAAATTCCTTTGAAGCTGCAATTTTGCATTATCAAAATCTTGTAATGTTTTGTAGAGTTGTATAACCCAATTTACTCAAAAGAAACCCTAACCATAGATAAGTCTTGTAAGTCCAGACATGCATGAAAAGGAAAACTATGAAAGGGCTTCATTTAAAAACGAAACTATGGGCTAGGGATATACCTCAGCGGCATAGGGCCTGCCTGGTAAGCATGAGGTCTTGAGTTGGACTCCTGGTACCAAAAAAAAAAAAAAAGTAAACCAGGCAGGACTTGGAGGCGCACACCTTTAATTCCAGCACTGGGGAAGGTGAGACAGGAGCATCACTGTGCGCTCGAGGCCAGCCTCAGCTACAGAGTGAGTTGAAGGTCAGCATGAACACATAGTGAGACACTATCTCAAAAAAATAAGAAAGCAAGCTAGATAATGGGATATGGTAGTGCATGCCTGTAAACACAGCAGTGCAAGGCAGAGGCAGGAGGATTCAAAGTCTGAGCCATATCTGGGCAATTTGGTGAGTTAATGAAATCCTGGTTCAACATAAATTTTAAAAAAAGGTTGGGATGTATGGTAGTGCAAAGTCCCTGGGGTTCAATCCATGGAACTGAAAAAAGATCATAAAAGCTACAAATACAGAATAATATATACTGCACCAAAGTAAGGTTAATAAGCATCTATAGCAAAGCCTCAAAAAATGGTAAATTTTATTTCTATGTGCCTACTCATGTTCTTGTCATTTAACATGTTATATCAAGTTGTTTAGAGACAGAATCAACTCAGGAGAAACAAGAATGATAGACCATCTCTGCCTTAAGGAAAAGAACTTGACTTTTGAGGGAGGGGGCGGTTTGAGACAGGGTTTTACTATGCAGTTCAGGCTGGCCTGGAATTCGCAGTGCTCCTCCTGCCTCACCTCCCAAGTGCTCAGACTACAAGTTGGGACTACCCAAGTGTGCCACCACACCCGGCAAGAATTTGAATTAAAAACTTTAAGATTTTTCAAAAGATAAAGGATGTTCTAGCTGTGGGTGTGGTGGTGCATGTCTGTAATCCCAGCAGTTGGGCGGCTGTGGCAGGAGGCCCTCCATATGTTCGAGGCCAGCCTGAACTACATAGTGAGACACTGTCTCTAAAAAGAAAATAAAAAATAAAAAACTCTTCATTTATTCATTTTATGTGCACCCCACCCCTTTTTCTTGCTTCAATACTCTGAAAATAACCGACGTAGATAACTTTCCTAGAAAAACAATCATTAATCTTGTTGAAGTTCTATTTCAGAAAAAAAAAAAAAACAAAAAAAAAAACAGAAAAAAAATGTCATTACATCTATTACTTGGCCATCAGCCTTAATCCTGGGTTCTTATAGATCAGGTAGGTGACGGAGAGAAATGTGGTCAGAAAAGCGGCAAGGAGAGGCAACCTGGTAAGATTACACTTGCACAGCAAAAAACAGGCTCCGACGTCAAGACACTACCCCTTGGCAATAGGCTCCTCAGAGAGGGGCACGCTGGGTTACAAAATAGCTCCAGGACTCTTGCGTTTGGAGCCACTCCAACAGCATTCCACAATTTTTTAATTCAAGGGAACTTAAACATCTCACGCCTCGCTGAAGCCTGGCGTTCCACGCTTCGGGGTGCACCGCCAGCTCGGAAATCGGTCTAGCAGAGCAGGGCGAAGACCTTGCGCCGAGCGTGGCGGCCCAGCATTTGGGAGGCTGGGGCGGGAGGGCTGCCCCGAGCTCAGGGCCAGTCTGAACTACACAGGGAGCGCCTGCCTTCGGGGGAAGAAAACGGGCACGAAGACATTACAAGCTTTGAACGAGGAAGAGAGGGGCAGCAGGGCGCGCTAGGGGCTAGCGCAGGCACGGTCTTAGGGACGGAAAGCGCGGCGGCCGGACAGGAAAGTGCCCTGCGGCGGGCAGCGACGGCGGAACAACCTAGTTAGGCCGGGGGCGCAGGTCTGGTCCGAACGCCCCTGCGGCGGCCGCCCCACCCGCGAGGCTCGGGCAGCGCGGAC